AAAAATAAAATTTAAAGTTTAAAACTCCTAATTTATTTCATGCTCAAATGCTGAATACAAACAGAATGTCACATAACGTAGTACATTAAATGGGAATAAATGGAAAATGCAAAATGTCCTAATTGAATTATGTTTAAATGTTTTTCTAAAAAAATTTTACTTGGCAACCCGTGCACCGCTCAACTACCACCCACGTTGACCAATCTAACCTGAAATGTTAAAATTGAAGGAATGAGTAATTTTATACTCAGTAGGATACGTGCATCCAAAACAATATAATAACTTTTAAAACATGAATTTATAACATTCCTAACCATTATTTCATCAAAAGAAATCGGTGATCGTCGAATACTCTAACACATTTGAGAAGACCCAAGGAGATCTCACATTTCATTTCATTAGGACTCGCAGGTCAATTAGCATTTTATAAAATAAATCCGTAGAAAAATAATAGTATTGCAAGGACAACCAACTTGCACACAGTATCCTACCTCGTTTTGATAAAAATCTGAATGCAAGCTTAAAATCTTTTTCCATGTCTCTCTGCTACCACATTCAACTGATGCATACTATTTTGATTCCACAAATATTTCCAAACTAATTGGCATGAAAGGGACTATTTTGGTTTCTAATAAACAATGGCTTGTTTACAGATTTTTGTTATATAATAGGAATAAAGAATTTCTTTCTGTTGGAAGTAATGTGTACTTACAATTTGACTTTGCCATATATAAATAGGGCAGATTCCCTAATAAAGCGAAATTGTAAAAAAATATGTGCATGTTGATTGGGTTTATCCAAAACATGTGATAAGCCAAAATCTTGTACCATGCAACAAAAAATCTAGTCAAATTGTACTATAATATTATCTTATTCAATTAAAAAAACCCACTATCTCTATCCAAATACACGTGGCAACCATCTATCAATCTCAAAAAATCAAAACTAATAAACCATAAAAGAAAACCAACTTATCTACTTACACGTGGTAGCTTACTATCAATCCAAGATTAATTAAGTTAAAAATAAACTAGTTTTCTGTGATTTATTCAAACTAAAGCTAGCTTATCCGAATCGACTTTTTCACGAGCTTAAATTGCATAATTAAATATGAGCTATCTAACGAGTATAATATTAATATATTTATCATCACTCTATCGAAATCCAAATTCTTGACCCAAAGAATATAAGAATTTAAAATATATTTCATCTTAGTCCCTCAACTTTCAAAATAAAAAAATGTAATATACGGAATAAATAAATTTTTATTCTAAAATTTTTGGCTCGAAAATTTTCTTATCTAGGTGGAAAGTCTAGTTTCATGATCGTGATCTCATTTTCTTCAAACTTCTGAAAAATTACCTTCTTTTCAGAGCATTATATTGTTCCGCTAATGTTTCCCAACCAATCCATTCTTAAGATGGCATAAAAAAATAAAAATAATAAAAATAAAAACCATTTCTAAAAGGTACATGTTAGCTATACATTCTTTTCCATTCATTTCTATTTTAACCTCTCTTTCTATTTGATTGGTATTAAGTGTACTATCAATGGGATAGTAACTTCCCAAACACTAATGGCTTTTTCATAAATAGTACAATATTTAGCAATGAAATCAATATAAACAGGGAATGAGCAGCTCCTAACTATATAAGAACATAAGCAAGCAGTTCAGATATTGATAGAATACCTACCATCATGTCCAAATTCTCAATTGCCTCTCGTTGGGTTAAAGCAAAGACTTTAGCTAGTCCCTTTTTGCTTTGTTCGTTGTCTCTCTTTGGTGGGGATTCATGGCAATTGGTAACAGTGTGACCGTGATTTCCACATCGGTAGCATACATTCTGTCTATGTAAACACTCGCCTCTATGGGCCTTATTGCACTTAGGACACGGGGTAAAAACATTATTTGGCTTGCCTAACCCTAACCACCTTTCAAAACTAGTTTTCTTATTTTGTCCATTTTCTTTACCTTCTTTCGACCCATTCCATTTCCTCTTTCCTAAAAATTTAGTACTTTCCTGAGTTGTCTAATCAAGTTCTAGTCGATTTGCAATTGCTTGAGCACGTTGTAGAACCTATTTGTACACGGTGTATTCACAAAATGCCAAAAATCCTACAATTTCTGGGCACAATCCGAGTTCAAACCTTCCAGCTTTCTTTTGCTCTATATCCACTAGATGTGTTGCGTACTTAGAAAGTTATTCAAACTTCCTTTCGTAATCAACCAATGCCATCTTTTCCTGCTTAAGTTGCTGAAACTCTATCTCCTTACAATCTCTTAAGGCTTGTGGAAAATATTTTCCCATCAACTCCTCTTTGAATCGTGCCCAAGTGAGCTTACGTTGTTGTGCCTCAGTCCTAGTGCATGAAACGAGCTCTCATTAAGGGCTTGCTGAATGCAACGGTGCAGGAGAGATGCTTAAAGATCCGTTTCAAACGCGTTATCCATTCTTTAACTGCCAAAGGGCTAGCCATCTCATTAAACGTATGGGGCTTATAACGACGAAACTGTTTCACAATTGAGCTCATAGTGTTGTAGTTAGTTTGTGCATTTTGGGAAGGCGCTTGCATTTGTTGCCTACCAAGATCCTGCATAGCTCTCAACAAATCCCTAAACATAGGGGCTTGTATTGGTTGACGTTCCATTTCCTTTAAATCAACCAAATAAAATTTGTTTTAGACATAGTCAACACAACTCAATATATTCGAATGAAAAACTAAATTTCATTATTTTTTTTAAAAATCCTAGAGTACATTAGCGATGATTGAAAGAAGAAAGGAAAAAAAACTATGGATTAGTTCAAGTACCGATTACATTTATTTTTATTTTTTTGGAAAAGAACAAATTATTTATCTAAATTAAACTATATCTAAGTTGCTAGTCTTCATCTTTGCTTGTCTAAACATTTTGAATTCTACGAAGCTTAGATGAAGGGGCATCATCATCCAAATATATACATAACTCAGGCTTAGAGTCTAGTTCGAACCCTGGCTCCTGCTCTAGTTCTTATTCTGGCTCTGGTCCTGATACATGCTCACGCTCCTTCATTGTCTTTGAATTAGGTTCATAATTCTGCTCCTATTCTGGGTCTTCATCAGGGTCTTGCTCTAGCTCGGGTTTGAGCTCGAGAGTAGAAATACACCTATCTAGAAAACTTTCACAGTACAGCTCGAACTCTATCCTTTCCAGGTGGTCTGGAGGGGTTACCCTCTAGCATTTCATCCCTAACCACAATGTCCATGTCTCCCCATTGAAGGGAAAAGTGTATGGATAAAATTGTTAACAACTTGAAGGGGTGCAATCTCATGTCCTATGCCCTTACCGCAGCCCACCTAGCAAAAACTTCCTCCACATGCTCAAGAGTCAGGTCTGTGTCATAATTCTCGTAGGCTTGGATAACCGTTGCCCGATGGTTTAGAACAGTCCTACAAGCCGTTGTCTTTCTAGCGGTCTCTCTAGTTCTATCCATGACTATCACATACAAGCCAAGTCCAATTATGCTTAATATTTTATTAGTTAAAATACATTGCCCTTTATGCTTGCATGATTCATTGTAAAGATAACATAAAATATTATAGTTCTATCAAAAATTGATTAAAAGTATGTGAGAAATAATTCATAAATGGAAGCATATATATTTAACATCATGCTACAATTCATACTAGAATATAACATTTCATTTCATTCCGATCATTTCTCAGATTAAATATCAGGATGTATATCTCATGCTCAAAATTAAAAATTTAAATAAAACATATTACGCAATACCTTCGGTCCGTCACATGGTAGTTGATTGGTGAATGCTAGGTGGCAAGAACCTTTCAAATTCTTACGTATATAAGAATTTTAATGAAATCCTTACATCACATCTTTAAAATTATATCTTAAGGAAGTTATTAATAATTAATAAATAGCATGTAAAGTTAGGATTAGCTACATACACATTTAATGCACATAACAATTTAAATTATTCTAATTCTCATATAGACAATCATATATATAAGCATATTCGAAATAATCATCTAAAATAAACAATCATAATTTTTAATATACCTTTCACGTGAACAGTGGTACTATTCAGGGTGATCGGTGTCGTTGTAATTCAATTTAATAGCAATTAAAATAATAATTTCCTATTATTACCTAATTTAGTAAAATTATAAAACATGTATAATTATGCTGTACAAATTTACACCCAACCACATGTATGTATACTTACACACGTATGCCTCATTTGTACACATCACACGCTACGTATGCATACATACATACCAACTTCATATATATATATAGAAAAAAAAAAAAAAAGATGACATTGGCATAGTATGAAATATAAAATCATTATTTTAATGTTAATCAATCAAAATATAATGATTGCATTTGAATTCAATTCAATAAAATAATATTAAAAATCTCATACCCTTTTACAACTCAATATTTCCAAAATCCAGTCCTTATTTGTTATGTCTTTGGCACATATAAACAGGAGAGGTGAGTAATTTAAGATTAGATCCTTATAACGAGAACTCAGTAATCTATCCCCTTTACGTAAAATCATAATTGACGAAACATTATTAACAATGTTAAGTAAAGAACTATCCTTGTAGTACATAGAGGAATCCATTTCAAATTATAGTGTTACAAGCTTCTATAACTGAATTCATAAATTTCTCTTTTCTGGTATGAATTATAATTTATGTATCCAAGAGAATCAACAAGTTATGGTTATGATGTGACAACGTCCTTAGGAAGTTGTGCTTCTATGGGACATAGGTTGGCCAACAAACTTAAATAAATTAAGGTCATACAGTTAGAGTAGAATTCAATGCTTCCCACTCAACCTAGGCTAACGGATGTAGGATGAAATGCAACAAATTCGTAAAATTAAGAATAAAATTCATAACATTATATTTGAAAATATTTTTTACGTAGAAATTATTGTTAAGTAAAATAAAATGGCACATGCTACCTAAGAATATAGTCCTCCAAAGATAAAATATAACCAAATTTAATTTTTTTGGTACATTGCTCTTAAAAGTAACAAGTTTGATTAGCAGAACAAAAAATGCACGATATTTATTGAGATTATATTGTAAAAGGGTACTACAAATGAACCCCTATCTGTATCAATATCTATATAGGACGTACTGAGAGCCACCGCTGTAACATTGCAAGGCATTCTTTAGGGTAGTACTCTGGTGGTGAATGACCTGCACCCTGGAAAATAAAATTGTACTTTCATTCCATATTTCTTGAAATATTCTTTATGATAAAGAACATAGTCAACTTTTCTTGCCTTCACTGTTACAAATGTGAGATTGAATTCATTCTTCTTATACTTCAATGTGTACCTAAAGTTTATTGAAAATTTGAGAATTATACCGTGATATACATATATATATATATATATATATATGCAGAACAGAAAATTTAAACCAACCCTGCGACTTGGCCATTAACATTCCAAGGTCTCCAGTCGTCATCAACAGTCAGATTGAGATTACGAATCCATTTTAAAGTACCCATATAAGTTGCAGCCAGGTCATGATCACCGCTTGAAAGAAAAGAAGCATAATCAGAAAGTATACATAAATTTACATTATTGAATAGTTAAGTTTTCGTTAAATGATATACAATGACATATAAACAAGCAAATATATTTTATTTTAAGACTAAACTCATAACGAATTAAGTTATAATTTCAATTTAAGCAAGAAACTTATACAACTTACTTATATATTAAAACATTGTATCCTTTCTCGCTGAAAATTTTATGATAATGAAGAACACTTTCTTGATTGAGTTTATAAGATAAGCTACGGTTGTATCTCGTCCAGTCTCCTATCGTCCCCTGTGATCAAATAAAAGATTACCCTTAAATTTTGATAAAATATAGTATTCTCTTTTTGTTCCTAGCACATGGTAAATCATACGAAATCTTTAATATTTTCTATTTAATGTACCTTTCTAATATGAAGAGCTTCTTGAACAGTTGGATCATTAGCCCAAAAATAAGATTTTGCATAGTTTTCAGTCTGTAGAAAAGAAATCAATTCAGAGGTTAAAAAAAAAAAAAAAAAATAGTAAATGTTGCTATAAGCTTCTTTTGAACCAAACGCAGTTTTAAAATTTTTTTCTTCAGTGACAATGTAAATATGAACTTACTTTCTAGAAAAATAAATTTTAAGTTAACTTGTGTGTATATATATAGGGCTAATTAAGTTACGCGACACCACAGTCGATCTTCTTTGGATGTTGGGAGAAGGAGGTGATCAACTGAATTGTCTTCCAGGAACGTGTGATCCCATCCAAAATCATCTGGTTTTGGCATTAGGAATTTACATCTTGGTTCCAATATGTGACCTAGATTTAGCTGGTTTACACACTGCAATATTTTATCAGATCATGAAACTTTCAGTGTTATGACAATATATAATTAATTTTGCAGGAAATGAAAAACGAACCAAGATAAAATGTTACCTCTTCAATAGCTTGAAGGGCTAAATGACATTGTTCGTTTTTTGGATCATGATTCACATATTTTTCGTTACAACTAACTTTTGCTCGCTGCAATTTTACCAAGTAATTACACGAGAATAATATGCTAAATGCTACATTTGATCATCAAAATAGTTGAATAATTACCTCAAAGTATTCATCAGATATAAGTGCCACACGGTGTGCATACGGAACTCTTTCATTATAATCAATGTCTGGATCTGTTAGTCCACTGCCAACAATGTATCCCTGTTTTGATTTCAAAAGTACTCTAGCGTTAACAAAAAAAAAATTATAGTTTGAAAATTAAATGAGTCTGTATGGGCTAGACAATACTTGGAGGGACAAAGGTGGCTGCAATCCAGCTTCGTTACCTGCATATTACAGTCAGGGGTAACAACTTAATTAAGCTTGGTTGGGATAAGAAGAAATTAATTACAGACTTGTAAGCTTCTTTTTTCTTAGATACTACCTAATAATATTTCCATGGCAACCATGGGAACAAGTTTGCCTCCATAGGATCCACCCGCAACATATAGACGGTTTTTGATAAACATGGGGTGATTCAATAACCACTGTATTATTATAAATATATTGTTAGTTCACTAACCAAACACAAAAATGGTGGTCGAATGCATATTTTTCAGAATGTGCGAGGATTACTAAGTTCAACATTAAAATTCATTCCTAGTTTCTTCAATCTCAACTAAGGAATACCACATGTATGATAAATAATGCCGATCTACCTTCTTCAGAAATGTGTAATTATCTTTTGCTGATTTTGTGTCCGTTGAAGAGTAACCTCTTGTGGTGGTTGAATATGAAAATCCGGTACCAACAGGCCAATCAATGAATATAATATTGGCAACCTACAAACCGTAAAATTATATAATATTGGTGGATACTATCAAAGACATACATACATACATGCATGTCATGCATGTAGTGAGAGAGGTATTTTTACCTTGGTCCATGAATGTGGCCTTAGGAGAATAGATGGTAAGCTTCCATTAAAATCTACCACATCAAAAGCTAGTGGACCTGCACACAAGCACACACTGATTTCCACACAGTATACAACCTGGTTATTAAATATTCATCTTAGTAAACCATTAATTGTTCAATGAATTAATGCATGACATATAATTTCATGATGCAAGCAAAGAGATATGTCTATGAAATGTGGAGCAGTATTGTGATTTCTGAGATCATCAAGCGACATACTACATGAGCTGAATACCAAATAATTCAGTACGATACTGTATTTTGTTCTTGATGTTGTGACGTAGAAATTTTTAGTTGGGGCACAATGAAACTCTGTACAAATCGAATATTTTGTTTTTGATTTTTGAATGATTTATACTCAACCCGAGAGTATGTTTGGAGAATGTGTGATGTGAATCCGGTAGCAACGAACACTAACAAACCCACAAAAGAATGACACAAACCCCAAGAAAGCCAAAAAAAATTAAAGTTTAAGACTCAATATACAAATTTGCGGACCAAACAACCAATAATATATTAAACTATTGACCTTTTGATCACGAAACTTATAATTTTAATCCGGATTTGGATTTAACCCAACCAATTAATGAATCAAACAACTCCAAGATAACAAAGATACGAAGGACCTTTTGATTACACAATTAATTGAATCTTACCCGAGTTGTTGAACGCCACAAGATGTTGAATCTTGATAAGTTCATATTTGTTCCACACAAGAGCAAGGATTGCAAGCAAAAGGCTCTCGAATTAATTTCTCAAATATCAAAGTCTTGGAATACAATAATGAAATAAATTTTCTATTTATACTAAAGTCTAGAAAAAAAAAAAAAAACCAAACCTGATTTAAGAGTCATAAAATAATAAACTTGCCAAAAATAAGAAATTGAGTCAAAATAGGATTTTCGCGAGAAAATTGCAACTTTGGTCCCGAATTATGCTATGCGGCCGACTTTGGCCTAACCCAGATCATATCATCCCCTCTCTCTTCGAAAAGATTTGACCTCGAATCTGCACCTGGTTCATAAAATATGCTCCTTCCATCTGCTTGATCAATATTGAACCCTTGATTGCGCTTCTTGTACCCCGCTTTGCAATGGTTGATTGATTCCTCTTCAATGCTCCAAAGTTGCTCCATTTGTTGTCCATCAATGAAATACTTAAATGGTGCTTTCTTATGCAATAAGTTTTTATGTTCCTGCAACAAGGAATATTTCAAATTGTGGAGGGATATGTTAGCCTTCACCAACTCTCTTCCACCACCAAGTTCACACTTCTTTGCATATAAGCTCCCCTTTCGTTTTTCTTTCATTTTTCCCTCATCGCCTTTCAACCTCAACTGATTATCATACACTTGTTGTAGTGTCAAAGGGACAAGTGTAATTGTTTTCCTATCCATGTAAAAGTTGTTCCTATTTCTAAATCCACCATGCTTCACATTCGTATCGTATTGCCAATGCCTACCCAATAATATATTCCCTGCATCCATAGGCACAACATCACACAGCACTTCATCCTTATACCTCCCAATTGACAAATTCAATAACACCCTCTTGTTCACCTTAACATCATCATCCAACCACTGTAATTTATATGGTTTTGGGTGTGGTACTAGCTAAATTTGTGCCCCAACCTCCATCAATTATTAAATTACATGCCTTATTTTCCACGTGGCATCGTGTGTGGAAAATATTCTCCCGCTGTTACTCCTCTTTATCCACCTTGATTTGTGGACTGAGTGCACACATCACCACCAATGCGTCCCCTCCAACTGGATACTACACCTCGTCATCATCACTAACATCTTCTAACGTGGGCATTCTATCTTCATCACTGCCAGTCACCACTTCTCCATTGTCTTTCAAAATCATGGCTCGTTTGTTTGGATACTGAGAAACAATATGTCCTATCCCAAGCACTTGATGTCCCAATTCCTAGATTACTGTGGTTCCACCTTTGATTCAACCTTGCCAGCGTTGTTATCCTTTCCCCTAGGTGGTTCAATTTTATTGTTGACAACAGCCCCATCAACCTTTTCTTCATCCCACCTAGACCTCCAAGATGAATTAAGCCCCTGTTGATTGCTAGCTCCTCCTTTTCTGTTCAACTGCCTCTCAACCTTCATTGCTACATACAACATATTTTCTAGTTCCACGTAATGCTGCAATTCAACAACATTGGCAATGTCCCTATTCAACCCATTCAGGAATCGTGTCATGGTGGTTTCTCGATCCTCCTCCACATTAGCTTGAATCATTAAAATTTCCATCTCTTTATGGTAATCCTCCACACTCCTCGACCCTTGTTACAACCTCTGCAACCTTTGATGAAACTCACTATAATAGTGGCCAGGCACAAATCGTTTTCTCATCACTACTTTCAACTCATCCCAAGTAGTTATCGGCCTCTCTCTATTCCTCCGTCGTGAAGTGACCACCTAATCCCACCAAGTGATGGGGTAATCAGTGAACTCCAAGACTGTAAGCTTCACTTTCTTCTCCTCCGAGTAGTTGTAGCACTCAAATAACAACTCCACCTTTTTCTCCCAATCAAGAAATGCTTCTGGGTCACTCCTACCTCGAAATGTCGGAATTGACATTTTAATACTACCCATACCCCCATCACCGTCATCTCCTCCATAGTTTCTATTCCTTCTTTCAAACCTACCACCTCTATTCCTCATCCTTCCCATCTCTAATTCTTCAAATTCATCATCATCCCATTCACTGCCATACACATATTCATTTTGCATATTCATCATAGGCTCTCGCCTAGCCGGCCTCCTAGCATGTGGTATGTCTGCCCGTTTACCCCGGCTAAGGTTTGTAACCATAGCGTCTAGCCAGTCCAACATATTCCCCACACTAATTATCATGCGCTCAAACTGTTGCATCATATCGTCTGTCATGTTATTTTGATTTCCCATCCTGCTTGACGTGGATCCTTCTCGTTTTGACATTCTCACAAATTTTCTGCCTCACCAAAATTTCACTCGAGAATTCACTCAATACTAGGCTTTACCGTCAATTGAACTCACAACTCAGCCTTTTACCTCTCAATTGCTTCCAATCAATTATCTTAAGAACAATTACTCGGAGTAAAATTGTGGGATAACAATTGAATTGTTGAAGATTCAAGATTAGGAAGTTGAAGGACTAAGAAATTAAATAAAAAATTTTGGAGGGACCAAATTTTTTTTTTAAAAAACCCGTGAATAGTACCGGAACAGTACGTGAACAGTACATTTTTTTAAATTTTTTTTTAGAAAAATACAAACACAATTAAACTATCTAAAGATTTAAATTTAAGACTCAAAAATAATAGAAAACACGAAGAACAAAACAAAGACTCCAAAACAAGAAAAAAGACAAAGGGATATAACTTTGATTCTAGTGCCTAAGTTTAGATACCACCTGATGTGAACCCGGTAGCAACGAACACTAACGAACCCACAGAAGAATGACACAAACCTCAAGAAAGTTGAAAAAATCAAAGTTTATGACTCAATTCACAAATTTGCAGATCAAACAACCAATAGAATATTAAACTATTGATCTTTTGATCATGAAACTTATAAATTTAATCCGAATTTGGATTTAACCCAACCAATTAATGAATCAAACAACCCCAAGATAACAAAGATATGAATGACCTTTTGATTACACAATTAACTAAATCTTACCCAAATTGTTGAACGTCACAAGATGTTGAATCTTGATAAGTTCAAATTTGTTCCACACAAGAACAAGGATTGCAAGCAAAAGCCTCTCAAATTAATTTCTTAAATATCAAAGTCTTGGAATGCAATAATGAAATAAATTTTCTATTTATACAAAGGTCTGGGAAAAAAAAGAAAAAAAACTTGATTTAAGAGTCTTAAAATAATAAACTTGGCAAAAATAAGAAATTGAGTCAAAATAGGATTCTCGCGAGAAAATTGCAACTTTGGTCCCGAAGTATACTATGCGGCCGACTTTGTCCTAACCCGGATCATATCAATGTGTGGTTTGAAAAGAAGGAAAAAAAAATTTTGATTTGTGTGTACTATTATTTTAATGAAGAATGTGTAGTTGAAAATGAGCACTATAAAAAAATATATATATGATAGAATGTAAAATAATGAATGACAAACAAGGGCTATATAAAGTCAAGCTTGATAGTTGATTTTACAAGTATATGAATAGAAGACTCTAAAGTCACTAATCATATTTGTAATTCATTTTAAAGGGTTCTAAATAATCAGGTCTCAATGAAGGAGAGTACAGTCTCATAGGTTCACTTGAGAACTGGTGTCTACCAAAACCATTGAATCTATTTTCCTATTATTCAGCAAGTTAAACATGTAATTTAAAAATAATTACTTTTTCCAGACTCAATTTAATTTTTTTCCCGAAAGTTTTAAATAAAAAATAAATAAATAAAAAATAAAATATTATAGCTCCTTTGTTTAAGCATGGATATCCAGTTGTCTTTGCACGGTTTAAGTTGAATAATAAATTGAACACTACACTTATTTGACATGTACCTCTATAAATAGCATCACTACATCGAATAAAAGCATAAAGTTATCACTCACGAATGAGACTTATTCGTACCTCTTTAAGAACTTGTTTGGCTAAGCGTATAAAAAGTAAATAATCACTTACTTTTGGTGTGTATATAGACACACAAAAAGATATATACACACATACATTTGTAGAGAATGATTACCAATTTCGTAGACCAGGGAGGATAGACCAGAGCAACCAGGTCCACCATTCATCCAAAGCAAAAGCGGGTCTGTTTTAGGATTATTTTCGGACTCAATGAAATAGTAGAATAGCTGCACTTCATCGTTTTCTCCCACACCAATGTATCTAGTCAATCAATCAAACAAAAATTTAAAAAAAAAAAAAAAATACACACACACACACACAAAGAATTCAGTTTCTTGAATTTGCATTATTTTTTATAACAGATTGAACTCAACTCTGCTAAACATGAAAAGAAAGTAAATAGTATTATCCAGGGAAATAAAGAATGGAAGAACTGACCCGGTTTCGAGTGTGACGGGCAGAGTACCCGAATAACCTGGAAGAGTCTTGACGATGGACTGTGATGTTCCATTGTTGAAGAGTAGCAGAAGAAGAAGTGCATGCAAACGTATCCAATTCATCGTAATCACACCCATAAATTAATTCAACTGAGGAAAAATATAATTTAATCTGTTTTCTGAATAGAATTTATAAGGGCTGGGATATGAAATTGATGGCAGAGTTGCTGAAGAACGTGGAGAAGTTGGCATCCTCTTCTGACATACTGTTATACAAACAGACATAAATATTACGTTTGGCTGCAGAACGTGGAGAAGTTGGCTTTCTCTTCTGACATATGTCGGGGAAAATGGTACAAGTTAACAATGACGAGCGATTTTGGAAATAATGAAAATGGTTAACCAGGAGGGGGGAAAAAAGAAGCAAAAATAAAATGAGAACAAAAAACAGTGAAGGCCGAAAAATGGCCTGGGCCTCCGGCCGTTCCTTGTTGCAATTAGAGTGGCAATTTTATTGAACTGGACGGGCGATCGATTGCTGCCCAGTACGAAAATCTAACTGTTAGCTTTTTGAATTTTGATGTCGTTTTGAAGGGTTTTACACTCTTTACCCTTCGTTTTTACACGTAGTGGTTTTCATAATCGAAATAATATCACAAACATCAATTGATTCAATTACATTCAAAATCTAAGATCAAACCCGGTTTTTTATAGTTTCGTTGGGATAGGTAAACGATGTGAACTGTATTGTGAAGAACAGGGGGAAAAAATCTAAAAAGAAAATAAATTTATGCATCAAAATATGATTGAAAAAAAAAAAAATATATATATATATATATATATATATATATATATTTTTTTTTTCAAAAAAGAAAATTTTTGAAATAACTCACGAAAAATATAAATTTGAAAGAAAACCAGCATCAGAATGACTTAAATGGAAATTAAATTAAAATAGGCTAATGCCCAAAACATGATCCGGAGCAGATCCACAATTATCCTTTCCCACCTCCACCTCAAAATTAGGACCTTGATCCATACTGTAAAAATTCTTAACATGCTTCAACATAAATTTCGTGTCAAGAATCCTTTGAAAGAATGAATTCCAAGATCTTTGCGTGATTAAATCACCTTACATTTCAAAACTCCAAAATTTGTATTTTCTTGTTCTCCAATGATTCCAATCTTAATTACAATGAAAGGGAATTATTATACATCGAAAAATGAACTCACATCATTTAAGTTTTATTATATAGATTTTTAGTCCCACTTTAATATTTGTTGCAATATAAAATCCCACCGAATAGGAAGTGACATCAGAATTCTCATATTCTTCTTATTACCAAAATCTCCCCAAACTATCACATACTCCACTAGGATATCTTCTAGATCCATTTATTGATTTTTTATAAATGCATAGCTTTTCAACAAGTTTTGTAGTCCATGCTTCTCTAACCTCCCCTCTAAGAATGCTAAAAATGTGCATAGATCCAGCCATAGGTCATGAAGCACAAAAAAAATGGAAACAAGTTAAAATGAATCACATAACCTAATGAAATCTCACGAAAATTATGACTGTATATAAAACGTAAGTGATATTTTAAATGCTTCAGAGTATTCATTTATTTTCTTTTATTTAAAAAATAGAACCATCTCAAAAAATATTTGGGCACGTCACGCATACCTGCTGCTTTTCCGATTTCGGGTAAAAAAATAGAGGGGAAAAAATCATTTGGTCCATTTCATAAATTTTGATAAGTTCATGTGAGGTCAGATGCTTTACCACTAATTATTAAAATTATGTTTGGAGACGAACAGGCCTTCTCGGGACTAAAAATAACAAACAAACAAAAAAAAATTACTTTTCTTCGTTTTCAAACTAATGCAGTTTTTCAGATTTTTGTCCAAATTTCGGGAGGTCATAACTTTTTCATTTCAAAATCAAAATTAATTATCTTTATACGAGTAAGTGGAAAGCATGAAGCACAATGTAGAAAAAGTTATCCTGTGATGAAATTTCAAATTTTAACAATTTATTGCAAAAAATTAGATTTTCAGTTAAAATTTGGGAGGCCATAACTTCTTCATTTTAAGGTCAAAATTAATGATCTTTATACTTCTAGAAAGGTCTCGAGAAGATATCCAACCATGTCAATATAGAAATACAAAATACAGTGTAGAAGAAGTTATCACCTGATGAAATTTCAAATTTTTATAACTAGAGTTCAATTTTACTTCGAAAATTCAAATTCAAATGAAGTGAAATTTTGCAGACATTATATATGCTAACATGAACACATGGTATAAATTTCACAAATTAATATAGTGGGAATCATAACTTGCCATTAATGATGTTATTTTTTCAAAAAAAAAATGTCTTCCAGCATTTTTCATCACACTAATTCTTTTTACAAAAAAATACTTGCAAGGAAAACAATCTTGTTAGGACCGATGACCAATAATGTAGGAATTGAGATTTAATGAACACCACTTGAAGTAATAAAGAAGATCACAAAATATCAAGAACAAGATTTAAAGTAAAGAAGAAAAAGAGAATTTAAGCAGAGGAAAGATGAATTTTATTAAATCCGACAATATGGAGAGAATTAAAACGACACAACAATTTGGCTTAAACGAAACTGAAAGAGGAGCCACATATTTATAATACACAAGTCAAACCCTAAAACTCGGCTAAAATATGGAAATTAAGAAAAACCGCGTAAAAGAAAGAAATCCGGCACCCAAATATTATTTTCTTAATTTTGGATGCAATTGGTTTCTTTCCTTTTTCAGTTGGCTCTAATGATTCTTTCCTAAACCAAGACAACACACAATCTTCCAATCTTTGACCCAATTTTGAAGCACCTAATTAACAATCTCCACCTTGACTCGACATTCCGGTGCAACAAACAAAACTCAAAAATTTCTAATCCGTCTGCATCGAAATAGCCAATCTCATCAACACAGTAACCAAACTCTCCATCATCAAAACCATCATCCCTTGCATGGCATCCAAAAGTGACACCCGGACCCAAATCCTGAGTTCCCAAAATTCTACCAAGGAATTATCGTTTATCAAAAGGGTCGAAGCATACCCTGTAGCAGAAACCATACCAAATGCACGATCAGAAGGCCCCTTGCCAATATTATCACCTTCAATGATCCCTAAGGCATCCCAGACATCTCCAAAACTATACATACGTTCCATGAGTCTATTGGCACCACAAGAACACAGTGTACCCACTAAAATTGGTGGCAAAGCAGAATCATCAACACTTCCATGAGCAAAGTTCTTAACTGACCCAGAGCCAAACACAAGAGGTACTGAACCAAATTGAATGTCCACCACGGTACTGAACTTGTCCAAATATCTCTGAACTGGTTCTGCCCTCCCCTAAAAGATGTACAACTGGGATTTCCTCCGTCCCTCCAGTACAACCAAGACACCCTTTCGAACCTTCAAGACTCCACTTCCACCAGAGAATTTATACCCTTTTCCATCCAAGGTATTCAGTGGTATGAGATTCATTTTCAAGTCTGGAACATGGCGGAGCTGATCGAGTGTCCTCACTGTTCCATCTTGTAGCCTCAATCTGATCCGACCGATTCCTACAACCTGACCAAATTAGTTGTTTCCCATGACAATTCCACCTTGCTTCAACATCTCATACGCCTGAAACAAAGCCCTATTGGGACACATATCATACGAACATGCAGAATCTAGAATCTACTCCCCAGGTTTGGATTCCCCATCAGATACAGCCCATATTACATCTCTATCATCCGAAAAATTCTCAACAATGTTAGACTCGTTACGTGATTGCCCCGCACACATTAGGCTCTGTGGGAGACCAAATCTATCTCCCCCTTCAAAGAGGGCCTGTAGGAGACTGAATTCGTCTCCCTTTTACATAAACATTTATCTCCGTGAGAGTTGGGCCGAAGAATTGTTGATAAGCCTAACTTTGATACCAATGTTGGGTGTGATTAGGTCTCTCTCACCCCCAAAAGCTAACTCTAATTGTGAGGCTTTCTCTCACATTTATAAACTGAATATCAATTTCATCCACAACCGATGTGTGATAACCTCAACAAATCTTTGAAGCTCTTATACCAACGTAAAAATTCAACACATGCTTGTTCGGGTCAAGAATCCTTGTTTGAAAGAATGAATTCTATGATTTTTATTTGGTTGAATCACATTGCATTTCAAAACTCCAAAATTTACATTTTCTTGTTCTCTAATGGTCTCAATCTCGATTACAATGGAAGGAGATTATTATCTACAATCTACATATCTAATTTTGTGATTTCTCATGCCATATATATGCTTCTGGACACTTTTCTATTTTTGAGTGATTTTCCACATGAATTTCACTTTATTATTCCATCTTTTTTTCCTTCTGACAATTGCAAGACAAAAGTTACGGTGTTGTAGAAAACTTGGAAGTTGGTGGGAGTCAAGGAAAGTCGTGGGATTGAATTTTTATTCAAAACATTCCCTCCAATCCACTTTAATAACTTACGGCCAATCACCTCACATGGGTGAACCAAAACTGGTGTTTTCCAACACAAAATAGTCACACATGCAAAGAGAAATACAGACGTGCAGTAGAAACTACCCACTTTCTTAAGGTCCAGCTATCAAACAAGATTTACAAACTCAGGATCCTCAATGCTGACCAGAATGTAAGCGAGGACAGAAGCAGATGGGGATGAGGAGGATACATTGTTACTGTTGATAAAAATGTGATTAAATACACATATTTACTAAAGCTAAATCCAAATATGGTACAGAAACAGTCCAATCCCTCTGGCTCAAGTAATCAAGCTAGTAGTGCAAAAATTTGCTATAAAATTTTCTCATAATGCAGCATAAGTTTGAAGTCTATAATTGCAAAAAATTGGTAAAAAATCATATTATAATGCAACATAAATTGTAAGTCTAGGAGTGTAAGAATAGCTCTTAATACCTCTAAAATAGGCAACATAATATGAAATTTGCCTAGAATCGTGATCCAATAAAATTAACTACATATTTCGTTACGTCACAATCATATTGTCTTTATCACTATTTAACAATAGAAAAGGCAGAGGGACAGGGTAAAAAACAGGGTGCCCACGTAGCGCCCCCTATTGGAGGGGCTGCTGTCATAGATTTCGGTTACAGTTTTTCGTGCCATAGCCCAGGACGATGAAGTACTTGTGATATTTCGGGCCGATTCTTGAATACCCGCTACTGTAGAATATTCATGTGGGACGTTCTCAGATTTTACACTTATGATAAGATTGGAAAGAATCCACCGAAATAATTTAAACGACGCAATTATCAGGGGCGTGTTCTACCTCTGACCTAATAGCTCGTCGTGCGAGCCTCTCACTGGGCCTGCTATGGCAAAAGCGATAAAAACCCCATTTCTTTCTTTCCTTTTTTGGCCCCTACGTAGATTCCTTTTCGGGAACGATTTATCCTTTCCCAAGAGCTCACATCAACGAGAAGGTC